AATCGGAGGACTCTCCCGATTTTTAGATTTAGAGAGAATAAACCCTGCAAATCGATTCGGAAATAAAAACAGCTTTAAATTTTATTTATTTTTGCCCTACATGCCTTTAGATAGCAGGTTGCTCATGAATGCTGGGACACTTTCCTTTCCCCACTTAGCAGCAGACCTGGAAATGGACCAGAAGCACTTCTGGGTCCACTGGAGAGCACATGGGGAGGCCTCCCCAGCTGACTGGTGCCTCCTGGGTCTGGGGAGGCACCTGAGGCCCCCCTGTGGCCAATTGCTGGGCTGGAGATCAGGGGGTGCCCCAGCACACTCCCCGACAGACTCAGAAGTGGATTGGAAGTACTTCTGGGTTCGCCACCAAGCACATGAAGCCCCCCGCCCCCCCCATCTCCTGTTGGATGCGCCCCAGCATTACAGCAATCATGAGCCACACCTGCTACTTCAAGGTATGTAGAAAAAAACTTCTAAAGCTGTGTCTATGTTCAAATCGCTGAATCTCCAAATCGACATCGAATCTTCAAATTCACGTTCGGCTGAATCTAACTGGGGACAGTAGTCCAAATCAAGGAATCGAATCGCTGTCCTTGATTTGGGCCAAATCGGAATCGAGTAGCCCGCTTCGCACACCCCATAGTGCACATCATAACCAAGAAAATACGGTAACAGCAGTTTCTGCCTACTTTAGCTTTTGTCTGGCAGAAACTAAAGCAACTCTGCAAACGATCCACAGGGAGCAAAACAATGAGCAGGCTTGGCTCACAAGCTACTATTGCTGCTCAGTTACCTTGCTACAAGGAAAGATCTCTGCACCCCCTCCATTCTGCCCTTCATTCTGCCTTTTCAAGAACAAGGTGCATACCTTATTCCAGTGAGTGGTGTATGCCAGAAAATATGGTATCTGTTGCATGAAATCATGGGAAGTGATTCTTTCCTTTTAATTGAGCAATGATGATGTGAACAAAATACTGCAAATATTGTCTCTATTTCAAGAAAAGTATGGAAAGACTGGAAAGAGTTCAGAGAAGAGCAATAAGAATGATTAGCAATCTAGGAACCATGACACAAGGAAAAGTTGGAAGTATTGGGATTAGTCTAGAGAGGACTAGAGAAGATTTGATAACCATGACTTGTTCTATATGTTCACAGGGGACAGGGTGAGAGGTAAGAGGCCTAAATTGCAACAAAAGGTTTAGGTTAGATATTGGGAAAGCTTTGTCACTCTGAGATTGGTTTGGCACTGGAGCAGTTTCCCTAGAGGGAGGTTGTGGACTGTCTTATTGGAAGCTGTTAAGAGCAGGTTAGACAGACTTTTGTCTAGGATGGCATAGACCACTGGTGCTCAACCTCTGGCCTCTGGGGTTCTCCGTAGGTCTGGAAATTTGGTGGTAGGGTTGGAGGTGCAATTGTGGGGATCAAGCACTATGCCATGTTACTGTTGCAGGGGGAGCCTAGGATAATAAACCCAGAATTCCCCTGCACTAGCAAGTAGCAAGCTATGTCCCTGTGTTCCCCCAGCTGCAAATGCCCATTAACTGATAGCCCCTTCAGCCAAGGAAGGGGTTGGCATTTGGGGACCAAGGTCTCCATGCACTCCCTCTGGCTGGGAACTTTGATCAGCTAGGGCTCCCAGCCTCTGGAGCACCCTGGATTCTTGAAGGACTCAAGTGTGCTCTGGAGGCTGGAGCATGGCCATGTATTTAATTAAAAGTGTGATAGGAACCAGCTACAAAGTTATTGCACATTTTTTTTTTTGCAATAACTATGGCTTATTCCTCATTATCACGCCATTAATTGATGGAACATGTGGCCAGGTTAATCATGTCTCAAGTGTAACATCTGTCTAGGACTTAAGTGACCCAATTGTGGAGACAAGACCTTCATTTTAAGCATTTAGAAAAATTGGCCACAGAAAGAAAAAAAAGAGGTGATGTGAAGGGGCCTCACAAAGCAATGGGAACAGAGCCTAATTATTAATAAGCAAGATAATGATGATAGCTTCATGTTCCCTACCAAGGCAATCTCTCAGGATTTGCCATATCTGTTTTTTTTTTTTTTCATCTGAAACTGAAAAATATCTGCATACTACCCTCAACCCCCAAACTAGCAGCAGTCTGGTTCTCACCCAAGGTGTATGTTTAAAGAGAGGACAGTTCTTCCATTACTGACATAAGTTAACCTTTGTGCCTAGCCCAGCAACTTGGACCTTCCTGAAGACAGGAAGTCAGGTTTTCCTGAAGTCTTGCAGATGGGTTTTTCACCAGGGAACTTAAATAACGGGTATAATTTGGGTTCTTTCTCTCTTAACAGGCAACTGCTATGTCAGTAGACTGCCTTGGACAGCATGCAGTGCTCTCTGGGTGAGTGTAAGAAGCATCAACAGAAATTCACTGGATATTCCTCTTGCTGGCACTTGCCTGGGCCTGACCTCCCCCTAATTTTTTGAAAACGGGTTACATGCACCATGCCCACAACCACGCTGAGTCCTAGGCACTTCTCTGGCACTCACTTTGAAATTCTTTCACATGCCTCTTTCCCCATCTGTGCCATGTAATATCCATAGAAGGAGTCTCCACATCTTTAAACCTTTAGTGAATGTAGTCTTTTTCAGGCTGGATCAAGCCTGGGGCACAGTGTGGGTCTAGCCTATACCATGTAATGGTGGCAGCTCTGGCTCCAACCCAGGGCACGTGGCACAGTTCTAGCCCTAGCATGGGGCATGCAGCAGCTCCAGCATGGGGTAGCTTAGGGCCACAGCTCTTGCAATGGGCAAAGTGGCTGGAAGACAACTGGAGTCATATTAGCCCTCACTTGCCCTCCTGCCACCAAATGCCATGTCCACCAGGGCCCAAGAGCCCCTGATTGTGCAGCAGGCCACATGTGCCCCCTGCAATTTTTGCTGGTCTGCAGGTAGCCCCATGGGCCAGATGGATATGGCCTGCAGAGCTGCTCTGACCCATGAGCTATATGTTTGACACTCCTGTTTCACACATTGTGAACATTTTCCTGGCTTACCTTCGGTCTGAAAGAGAAGTATGGTTTTTGTTCATGTTTCTTGTCCTGGCAACACTATCATGGTGCACAGAAGAGCTGTATGCTCACTAAATCTAAGAGCTGGCACAGGGTACACTAGGTTTATGTTAAATGCACTTAAAACATGAGTCAATGTGTGTTCAAGCAGTAAAACGGGTGCTAAGTGCACTTGTAGCAAAATTAGGATTTTTCATGTGAGGAGTATCTCCAGATCACATTAAGTAACATGTTCAGCTATCCTCATACTTGCTTTGGATATAATGCAAGAAGTTTGCAGTCCTTGCCTCCCTGTAATATCAGCCAGGGACTCCTCTACTGTACCAAGCCTCCTGGTGGGACAAGGAAAGCCACACATTGGGAAGAAGGATCCCGGATATTTATCTTGTTAGGATCAAGTTGAAAGCTAGGTGGCCGCAGCCCTGAAGGGTCCCAAAGCTGAGACCAGCAATCAGGTAATTGTCAGTCCCCACCCTGGCACTTCTTCAAAGCCAGTTCAAGACTCAGGTGCGGTGTGGGCACTGGGACTGAACCAGCAAGCTGTTCACATTAGAGAACTTAGTAAACGTTACTGCACAATTGCCCAGAACTCATTCTAACTTTAATACTGCACAAATTTAACATATACTAAGTGTCCCATGCAACAAGGTCCTGACATAAGCAATACTTGCATGATCAGCCTTATGTAATTTAAGACGTTTTAGCACTCTAGCAACTGTCAATCCTGGATCGTGGTGTAAGCATGAGGGCCACCCATACCTTCAATGCATATGCCCAGGCAGGAATTTTTACAGGAGTGGAGGCTGCCCAGACTTTCCATCCTCCCTTTAGGCCACTGAGACAGAATCCAAAGACTAGACTGAGTCCAGATGTCTGGTGCCTCCATGGCTGTAGTTGTATACGTGTCTGGGAATTGAATCCAAGTCTCCTATTGGTAGACAAAGATTCTACCACTGAACCACAGGGGACTCCCTCATTTCAGTACTAGTCTTTCATGAAAATAACTTTCACTGTCCTGATACTGTCTAATCCTTTCAAAATGGTGCTTGTGCCTTACAGGCGTCGTTTCCTATACATAGTTAACCTGGATGTGCCGACCGAAGGTCACCGCAAGATCTCACGTCAGAGCAAGTGGGACATCGGAGCTGTCCAGTGGAATCCACATGACAGCTGTGCATACTACTTTGCAGCTTCAGTGAGTTTTCTCTTGAAATGCTCTACATTTCCATGAAAGCCCCAAACCTGCAACTGAATTCATGGAGGCAGATTTTGGCAATCGCATGATGCTCCACAGAGGCTAGTGGGTCTTTGAGTGGGTACAGGAGTAATAGTATACCCCATGCCTGTGCAGATCACATAGCAAAACTAGAGCTTGCATTTGTTTAATTGCTGACAAGCTAAGTTTTCTGGCCTGCAAGTTCTTAATAATCAGCTAGTGGAGTATGATTTTTAGGTACATCTTTTGTCTCTTTTTATAAAGAACCTTGTCAAATACGAAGTCTCGTCAGAAATCAAGTCTCTGAATTGTCTCGTTCAGTACAGAGAGATGTAGCAAAATTAGAGCTCAAGACTTACTTGTATTCTTGCTCTGTGCTATTTTGTTTTCTGCTCTCAGCATTGCTGATAACATGTGGTATGTGAACCAGCGTGTAAATAAAACAGAACTGACTCTCTGCTGAGAGAAATGCAAAAGGCCAAAAAAGAGAATTTGTGTTTGCAAATGGGCAAAAGACCAAGTAGGTAAGGATTTTTTTTTCTTTCTGTAAACAGAAATTTAATAAACTCGTATTAAAAAGGAGTAAAATGAAACTTACCTAAGCAGAGCTGGTATTGAGGCCATACAGGATATGAACTGTTACAAGCAGAGTACTGAGCCTTTGCTGGGGATAGTCTCCCTTTGCAGTGACTCGCTGCTTGGCCGTTGCAGGCACCAAATACATGCATCCATCTGTCTGTCAAGGCAGTGGCCGCGCCATCTTTCATTTGCAGTTACAAGATGGAGTGTTCATACCATGGCTTGCTTATTCCTTTGAGCAACATGTTAACTGATAGGTTTTCCTACTTTTTCCCTGGTGTCATTTTAATACTTAAATTCAGGATTATTTAAAATGAAAAATGTTCAGAGTTTTCTTTCTCTGTGACCTATGAGACAAATGTCTTCAGCTGATCCCTTCTAATTGGGGAATGAAACACTTGCATAAATATATTTTTCATTGCTGCTTTTTGAGAGAGTCTGGGAAGATCAAGCCAATTAACAGAGGTGTGGAGTTAGCAAGCAGAGCAAGAGTCTTTTCATCAAATGTCTATTTAAAAAGGAATTTGGTGTTATAACAACACTGATATTTTTTTTTTGCAAGTACTGTAACTAATTTTGGTAAGGGGGGGACTACAGATGGCAAACTAATATGAGCCAACTAGCTCTTGCTGTATTAGGTTGTCCCAGAAGGAGACTTTTTGGCTTTGGAAACACAGTACTACTATTCTTGCCTTCTGCTTGCATGACACCCATAAACAGTTTGTTTGTTTGCAGCAAGCCTTATTATCCTTACTTAGAAATGAAGGTGGAGAGATGCAATGGCAATTCTTGTGCAGGTTACATGTATCATTATTGCTGAAACCAGTCTGTTAAAGAATTGCCGTTAGAAAGCATACAGCTTCCCCACCTCCAGATCAGAAGTTCTTTCTTTTCACTTCTCTTATCTTTTGCTGACATCTTGGTGGCAATTCTGAATAAGA